CTCACTCTTCTCCACCAAACAGTGCTATTAATTGTAAAGGATTATCTTGTTAACTGCATACATGGCTTTTAGAGACCTTTCTAGCTGTGAAATCCCTTTGGTGATCTGAAGAGATTATGTCTGCTCATTTGCAAAATGTTAGCAGTCCTTGTATACTAAGTGTGCCTGACTTTCAAATGTGATCTTTTTGAAATGTACAGTCATGATTTTCTCAATAAGTAGAGTACCCAGTAGTCTAGTTTCGTAAAGGTTTATGGGTATATTGCTTAGATTTCATTAAACTGTAAGAATAGAACAATCGTGTCTGGTTCAGAGTAAATTAAAGATCCATGGTTATTGAGTTAATTCCACATTAATGAACTTGCTGACAGGATTCTCAATGTTGAGTTCCAGGACTTGGCAAGCACAGCCTATGAGCTGCATAGAGGCTGCCAGGTTACTGAGGACTTCATTTCAATGTAATCACTACCTCTACCTGTCTGCTTCTTTATGCTTACTTAGTTAAGTACTTTGAGTACAGGTGGGTTTGCACAACTCACTAATAGGAATCTGTTCTGGATGCACGCATGCACCCAGTAGGAAGAAAGAAAGGGAGGGGAGTGAGAGTGGGAGGGAGAATAAGAAAGAGGGAAAAAAAAGCAAGGAGAAAAGAAAGAAAAGGCACATATTATAAGTAAGTTATAAAAAACACAAGTTAAATAGAAGCAGACACATGATGAGCAAGCTTTCTGTCTCAATAACAAGGTGCAGAGTAGAGCTGCAGATTCAGTTGAAGAGTGAGATGAATTGCAGGAAACTGCAACAAGAACAGAAACTTTCCAATAGTCTCCCAGTAGAGACGTGAGAAGGCTGAAATCAAAACCCTTGATTTTCCTTTGAGAATTCTTAAGTCTAGCTGAGTGGAGCTTCTGCCCACCCAGTTTCATCACCTTCAACCCCCCCACCCCCTGTCCCTGGCAAAGAATTTCCTAATAAACACCATACTTTGACTACTCTTAGGTATAGATTTAATGGATTGGTCCACCTGATCTTGACAGAAGTGTAAGAGAGGATACTGGTACTGTAAAGAAAGCACTCACTGTATGTTGTAGAGTCTTAGCTATTACCGCTTTATCAGTTCACTCTTACTCTGCTCTGGTCTATGGCTCCTCAACTGTCACAGGGTCTTATGTATAGCAGCAATGTGTGTGTGTGTGTGTGTGTGTGTGTGTGTGTGTGTGTGTGTGTGTTGTCATAGTTTACAACCAGGGGCTCCTTTGCACCTCAGAGCAACATTTGCAAATACTTTTGATTGCCACAAATTTGGCAGAGATGAAAATAACAGCATTTAGTGATGAAAAAACAGGCTGACCCCAGCATCCTAAAGAGAAGAGGGTGTCCCAGTACACATACGTATGCATACATGCACATCCACCCCTACAGCATACTCTGTAAGTTCATAGAGCTGAAACTGAGAAATCTTGAGTCCCATTTATCATCTGTATGCCTACCACACAGACACAAAGCATTTTAACTGGTAGTGCATACAGATGTGCTTTTCTATATACCGTTCTTGTTTGATTGATCCTCTTTTGCAGCTGATGGTAAAAGGAAGCAAAATTTCTTTCTGTTTAAGAACTGATTCAGTAAGCACTGGTCCAGACATCACAGTGAATATTACACGCTCACTAAATGTTGGTTGAATAATGCATGGACTCACTTTAGCCACGCTCACCAACTCCACTGCAACTCTCCTCTCAGCAATCAAATAATCTCCAGCCTTCTGTTGGGTACTTGCATTTCCAAAGCATCAATAATCTTTCTTTCTTCTATTAAAAAAAAAAAGTCTGCCTCTGAAATTTTTGTTGTCACAATAAAAGAACATACATCTTCAAACCTCTAAAAGATTTAGTCTCACATAATCCTACAAGATAATTCATCTTAAAAAGATTAATTTTAGTCAACTAAATGAGGAAAAGCTACACAGAGCTCTTCCAAATGTAGTAAAATCACTGGTCTTCTCTCTCCCTCCCTCCCTCCCCCTTGTCTCTCCCCCCCCCCCCCGCTCTCGTCTTTGTAAGACAAAATATTTTACTAATTAAACCTCTAGCATTTGCCACTCTACTATGCCTTCATTTCTTCAAAGTAACAAAGTTCTCCTCTAACAAATATTAACCTGTTAGAATGAACTAGAAGTTGGATTTTCTTAGACAAGGCAAATATCTTTGTAATACAATATACTTTAAAAATATACCATTCTAAAATAAATATAACTTTTGGCTTTTAACAGTTCAACAGAGTCAAGTATTAGTGGCCCAAATTAACAGCAATGCAAAGAAACAAGCTGAAGGCCAATATAAAAGTCACATCATTTCACCATTGTGTCTGCTGTCATAAGCAGTGGGTTTTTGATTATGAAACCCTCTACTACCATGGCACATATCTGTAGATACACATAAACATTTGTGACTATTTGAAGTGACATTTACTCATTACAAGATACAAGAATATTCTTTTATCTGATGATAGATGAATTAAGCTTTAAAATAACTAACTGTTCATTTTATGTGTAATTGGAATTGAAGATTCTATTCTAGAGCCTCCCAAGGGATCTATAACGGGTAGGCAAGTCAAAAGTCTACTACTTTTCCCTCATTTCTCAACTTCTATTCAGACAGTTTCTAACTTGCCAGAATGAGTAATGTGCATGAAAATTACAAGATCAGCAACGGGGGGCGGGCAAGACATTTTCATCAATATATTTTTTACTATATTATTATTAATTATGGCAAAAACAAGCAAATAACCCAACTCTAGAACACATTAAAAGTGAAAAACATAGATTTGCCAACGTCCCTTCTCCTCACCCACCTTCACTCATCTGACATCTGCACATTACTCTCTCCACCTTGTAAAAGACACTATGAAAGAGCCACTTCTCTGGTTATCACTGGACTTTATCACTCACTGCTTTTCTGATGTCAGTGAAGACAGAGATTTTTCCAGCATGGTATTGGGGACATTCTTAGGCATTAAGATGCATAACAAACACATGACATAAAAACCACAACAGTTTTGTAGTATATATTTTCCCAGAAAGGAGAAAAGTGTAGCTTCAGACTGAATTAACTGATGCCTGGGAAGTTAAGAAGACACACACCTGTGTGCACTCTGACTTTGTGACTGAAATTCTCCAGGTTGGTTTCCAGAGTCCTCACTTGGAAACATGAAAATTAAAGCCCCTGCCTTTTAACTTTGAAGTCAAGAGGATGTAAATATTTTAAAGTGCTCCTTTAGTAAATAGTATTATTGTTTGTCTTTTCATGGGGTAGGGATATTGACTCTGATAAAATACTTCTCTCAACGTCCGCTTCTGATTTAGCCCTGAAGACCACAGCTTTGTTCAGATAATTGTGTGAAGTTCAACAAAGCTCTGAGCACACACAGGAGCCTAACAGTCACTTTCATGGTATATGTCTTTCCTCTTCAGGAAACATCTATGGATAATATTTTATCACCACAGCAGAAATGAAGTGTAAATGAAGGTCCTCAGTCTGAGTCTCTGAGTATCTAGGTAGAGCCTAGTGTGAGGTACATTTAGAGCTGGGACTTGATCTTTAATTCTCAAAGTCCCTGAACCAGCAACATCATTGTCATGTGAAATACCAGATCCACTGAAGAATAATAAAATAGGAGGCAGCCATTTTTTTGTATTGTTTTAACCCACAGGTCATACTGATAATGCAGTTTAGTTTGAAAATTTCAAGAACAGATGACCCCTATTGCCTCAAATTACCAAAATGCTACCATGAAGAGACCAAATACTGCCCTTACTAGTGCCATGTTACATAATGGCATTCAATTATTCTTGTAGTCTGAAAAAAGCATCACAATCAAGACTAACATAGTCATGATTTTTAGACCAGTAACATTTGCTAGAGAAAATGTGTATTAGCTGGCTTTCCCCCATTCAGCAGGCACCCACATACATCATTTTAAAAAACAGTGGACATCTCAAGTTCAATCTTGGTTCTCCTCACATTTATAGAGGAGGATATTTTATAATAGATACAGCACAGGCATTTCACATCTATTTCTGCAAACCTGTGCTCCATAGAAATTTCTCTCACTTTCCTTCATCCAGAAGGTTGGCACGATAACAAAGTTGCTCAAACCGTTCAAGGAGGGGCTCTCACCCAGGGGAAACAGGCAGTGTTCAGGGTGCAAGAAGCCTATGGCATTTCAAGACTAATTTCAAATAGATCTGGTTTCTCAATGTGACTCAGTGAAGTAGGATGGAAATGGTTTGACCTGAAGATCAAAATGTAAGACAGGAGCAGACACCTTTAGCTTTCCTGAGGTGTTTACAAATGAGCAGAAAAAATGCTTTGAAATGACAGAAAACTAGACTGGCTGGCAGAGACTAAAACAAAAAAGCTGTGTGTCTGTTGCGGGGGGGGGGGGGGGGGAGCAAGACAGAGAGAACTAGAGAGACAGGGGAAGGGACAGAGTGAGACAGAGAGAAGGAGAGAGGTGGGGGATGGGGGAGGAAGAGATGGAGACAGAAAGAACTAGAGAGAACAGAGAAATGGGGGAAGGAAGAGAAAATGAGACAGAGAGAACAAGAGGAAGCAGGAGAGGGAGGGAGAGAGAGAGAGAGAGAGAGAGAGAGAGAGAGAGAGAGAGAGAGAGATAGAGTGATCCCAATAGGGGTCAAGGGTCAAGTTCAGGGGTCAGTTCTCACCCTTTCTTGAGAAGGTCCTCTCCCTCCCAAACTGTTTTGACAGGTGACATTACTTTACAACCAACCCCCCCACCCCCACTCACTTCTTTAAGCAGTTAAACCAGCCCCACTTTTGCACTAAAACAAATGTTCTTATTGCCTCACAGCTCAGCACTAGCTGAGGTTCTGCCTAACCAAATAAACTTCCACCCTTGAGATTATCTTCTTAAAGAAAGAAAGCAACAACAAAAGAGACAAGTGTCGATCTTGCCATGAAAATAGCCAAACAACTCAGGGCTCCATTTTCCTGCAGCAGCTTTAATTGGATGATCCAAAAGCATTTATTTATTTTACAGTACTTAGTAGAAACACGTTTTCAAAAGCCTGTCTTGCCTTCCATGACCTCTGGGAAGCCTCTGGAGAGGTGATTAATGCACCAGCAATCTAGTTCTCTGTCCACCTTCAAGTATTTTCTGAGCTATATACTTGGCAACACTTTTGTTCAAAGCCTTCCAAATCATGAGAAAAGAGGGCCACCAAAAGCATTTTAAAAAGCAACCCCTCCAACCGTGCTCGACACATCTTCAAAATGTGCCAACACTTTAAATGTGCAACACTTTCATCTACTTAAGCAAATACATTTGTTCAAACATAAGAATGAGTTCTTGTAAAAACATTATTTTTCAATTTATATACTTGGAAGCAGAATCACTTCTGACACTAATGGAGATGTGAGATCAGAGCTGGAAAATAAACAAAGGTCGGTACAGGCAAAATGTTCTTCCTCCTCAAAGAATGGGGAGATGCAACTTGGATGGAGACAAAAAAAAAAAAAAGAAAAAAAATTAAGGCAATATATATTGATATCACTTTAAAGAAACCTGTGATCTCTTGTGATCTCTTTTGGCTTTATCAAAGGAGTAAATTACTTACTTAAGACTCTTCAGACATCAGTTTTGCCTCGTGAACCTATGGTATAATATCTTATAGATACTTTGTTATTCTGTAAAGATTATTGTAATGGAGAGCCCAAGCAAAATACAAATAAGACACTAACACATATTGCCTCCTACTTTTTAAAATTTGTGGCCAAATACAAGGGGAGCAAGGGACTCCTCTTCCTATTGTTTACTTTTTGTTTTCAATCTAATGATTTGGTTCCAAATAAAAACTCTGGAAGGGTTGAAATAACCACTAAAATAATGTACTCCTTACGCTGTAGAGCGCAGGGTGTGCGAGATCAAAGTTAAGAACATGTCTGACTTAGTGTGGGGCACAAACAGACAACACGAAACCAAGACAAATAGAAAATACCCCCGTTACTCTGCCAGATCTATGTTGCTTTCCCAGACCTAAGAGGGTGTTGTTAGCTGGGTGCTTGCCCCTTTGCTACCAACAGTAAAGTTCACTGTTCTTCAGCAAAGCAATAATGATACACTTCCTCATCTGGGGAGTCAGATGCCATGGTCATACCCTGTGATTCTTAGGCCTTGAAACTTTTCTCCATTTTTAAAGACTTGGAAACAGTGTTATCCAATTTTTCATAGAATTCTATCTTCAAAATGTGACAAATAACTCTGGAAGGCATCATGGACCTGGCCTTGTCCACCTCCTCCTCCACCAGGCACCATTATCTTGGAGCCTATAAACCACTGAATAGGAAACACAAAAACACAAATAGTTTGGGGTTTCTTTAAAAATGACATTTGTATTAAAAGTCTTAAAATGAAGAGACAGTGACTAAATGAGTGGAATTAAAAGTTACAATTTGTTAGAATTCTTCTGGTACATCACAATGAAATTTTGCTCTTTGCTTCTGGAGGAACACCCTGTAACAAATGACAGACACTTTGAAAACAACAGAAAAGGAGAGCTAAAGCCTGAAATGTGAACAAAATGAAGGGGAAAAAAGTCAAGACTTATGGGCTTAACATTTAAAAAAAAAGCTAAAAATTAATGAAGCAAGTCACGAAATAACAGGTCCTATTTATCCTGGCTCTTTCAGGAAGATGCTTAAAGTGGTTTGGGGGAAAGCAGAACAGCAGATTCTGGGATATGGTGGGAATTCACAGGTTGGCACCGGCTGGAACAGCTGAGTTTGAAGGCACTCTGCAGACACAGGGGTGCTGGGGGCCCTGAATCACATTTACAAAGTCTTTGTATTGTATTTTTAAAAGCTAGTCAGCAAAATCTGTCACTGCCAACCACAAAAAAAAAAAGCTATACTTACACTCACACACACACACACACAATAGCACACACAAAAAATGTGCAGATCTGTAACATTTTTCACAGCTGATTAAAAAAAAATACTACCATTCTTTCCCCAGACTCCCCTTTGATACAGTAGGTAATCAAAATAGATTTTTTCCCACAAATATCAGCAGACACTTCCTGGCACCCCACACTGTATTGGCATCAGTGTTAAACAGTCCCAGTTCACATGTGCAATACTTCAGATTGGATACACTGTAACAAGAACCCAACTTTGCATAGACATCCTCAGAATCGTAATCAGTCCCTGGGTTGCCCTTCCAAGCTGGCAGAAAAGGAACCCCTGGTCTTAATTTCCAAATAATCCTGGAAAACAAGAAAAAAAAAAGTTTCATCTCCTCTTCTAGCTCCTTCACATGATTTTCTTGGACCTCTTTCCTTGTGTTAAAACTTGGAACTATGAACAGTTGCTTGGGGGAACCCTCCCCCACTGCCTCCTTCCCCTCCACTTCCTCTGCTTCCCCACCCCCATTTTTTTTCCGGACTTGAAACTTTTGCTTGCCGGTGTCAAGCAGCCAATACAGAGCCTTAATGGCTACTTAAACGGGGAAATATGCATGAACCAAAATCAACGAGGAACATACACGCTGTATAGAGCCATTTTTCCATCAGGGTCTCAGATGTTCAGCAACGGACACCCCCTCGGACGCCGGCTGAAGGCTGGGGATGCTGGCCACACAAGTCAGCCAGGTTCCTCGGACATCCCAGCCAATACAACAAAGTCGTCTCCAATCTCAAAGCAAGAAGACAATCACATTAAGAGAATCGGGTGCGTTTGGCTTTGTGCACAGAGCGAGGCCAGCGCCCGGCAGCAGACGGCGCCTCACAGGATCACGCAGGCCGAGCAGCAGCCCTCGTCGCCGTTGGGCTGTGCCGCGTAGTTCATCTGCCTCACGATCTCTGCGAATAGCTCATCCACTGAGGCTTTGTTTTTGGCAGATGTCTCCATGAAGGGGCAGCTCCACTCCTCGGCCAGGGCCTTGCCCTCGCCATAGGAGACCTCACGTTCGCCCTCCAGGTCCACCTTGTTGCCTACCAGGATCATGGGTACGCGCTCGTACCGCTTCACGCGGATGATCTGGTCCCGCATGGGCTTGATGTCCTGGAAGCTCTGCTGGTTGACCAGGCTGTAGACGAGGATGAAACCCTGGCCATTCTTGATGTACAGGTCCCGCATGGAAGCGAACTGCTCGGTGCCCGCGGTGTCCAGGATCTCCAGCACCGACGGCGACGAGTCCACCTCGATCTCCTTGCGGTAAAAGTCCTCGATGGTCGGGTCGTACTTCTCGATGAAGGAACCTGTTACGAACTGCACGGTGAGCGCGGACTTGCCCACGCCGCCCGAGCCCAGTACCACCACTTTGTACTCTCTCATGGCTCCGTCGGCGCCCTCGTCGCGCCTGCCGCGGCCCCGTCGGGGCTGCGCGCCGGGGAAGGCTGGGCTGGGCGGGCGGGTGGACTTCTCCCCTTCAACTCCGCAGGAAATACCCCGGCGAGAGTAGCCCGGTAGCACGGGCTCGCCAACAGGCTAGCAGAGCCCCGCGCCGGGCCGACCGGCTGCGGGGGCGCGTCCCTAGGGCGCGGGTCCCGGGTTCCGCAGCAGTCCTGGCTGAGGACCCTGAGGACAATGCGCGCAACCGGAGCAAGACAACGGCTGGAGCTCTTCGCCACGGCAACCTGGGAGGGCCGGGAGGCGGTGGCGGCTGGTTGCAGAGGCGGCTGCTAATTGCGCGTCCGGCTGAGACACGCGTGGCATAAGTCCCCGCAGAACGTGCGTCCAGCTCGGTGGCCCATCACTCTCTCCTCTCTCTCTTCTCTCCCGCAGCCTCCGCTGGGCGAGGGCTTCCTACTCGCCGCGCGCAGCCCGGCCCTCCCCGCCCAGTCGAGCATGCCCAGTGCGCCGCCCCGGGTGCCCCGCCCGAGCTCCGCTCCGGCTTTTCCGTCGCATCGGGAGGAGGCGCGGCAGAGGGTGTGGCAAGCAGGGATTGGGCGGGGCGGGGCGGGGGCGGGGCGGCGCGAATCTTGGAACTGGGCAGTCCCGGTTGTGTGTGCCTGTAGTTGGAAAGCTCCAAACCGAAGCTACTTCTGTCGGGACTCTGCGGGCCTCCTATGGGTACAGCAGGCAGCCGCTCTCTGTGACCTCCTCGTAGGCTTGCCCTGTTAAAAGATAGACACCTGTCCCCGAGCCCAGGCCGCCGCGCGCCTCTCAGGATCGTACACTTGCAGGGCATTTTTCAGGCAGGGAAAGGTAGCAGAGGCTCGTGCCCCCACTTGGCCTGATGTTCCCGGGTCATTTCCCCGCGAAGACCTCGGCTTGAGTCCCTGTCCGGTCGAGGAGCTAGGGGTGGGAATTTGTGGGGCGCTGCAGCCTTCAGTTGCGGGGTCATCCTCTCTCCCCTTTGGCTAGAGCCAAATCCTGGCTAATGGATCGAGCCGCGCGGAAGGCCCGCAGCTCCCGCACCGAGTCAGGGCATGCTCAGTCGGCGGAGCAGGTTTGGGGCTTGCAAGTAGGAAGGTTTCGCACCGCACACCCACACGCCAGCTCAAATTACCTCTCCCAAACTCCCAACTCATTGGCCCCAGGATGTGAGTCTCACACCCCCAAATGTTTTCCCATTGGCTGTTGCCGAGGTTTTGTCACTTTAGACAGCTTCATTGGCTGGAGAGTCGCCTCCGCTCAGGATTGGTTATTTATAGAGATTGAGTGGAGAGGCGGAGGCCCAGCTGTTCCTTCTCCACCGCTCCCCGCCCCCTTCCACCCACTGCCTGGGCCTGTGCATCTGAAGCTAAGAGGGGGAAAAAAGGAATTTAGGTGGAGTGCTCCCAACTAAATATAGTCCTTTGTTGGTGTTCGGAAGGGAGTCTGACTTCTTTAAGCCCAGTCACGACCGTCCCTTAAAGGGAGCTGCTAGAGCTCATTGCTGCTCCCCGTCTGCAAGAAACGCGAAAGTTCCTAACTTGATCTCTTCAGGAAGAAAGCTGGGATGAGCAATAAGCCACCGGGAGCTCGTGGCATCAGGGGAGGTGGGGCTGCCCGGGCTTGTCTCTTCCCAAAGCTCTGCTTGATGGGGAGGGCAGTCTGAAGACTTGGCTCCGCTCACTTGCACGGGGATGCGAGGTGACGCCTGGACTTGTCCCGAGTCTCCCAAGTTCCTTGCTAGGAGAGATGTTGAGACCTGTCAGTGTACTGCATTGGCAGCGGGAGCCCGGGGGCGCAGAGGGGTGGAGATCGGTTTTGTGTCAAGTCAACCCGCATTAAATGGCCAGCCTTGCTGTCCGCTGCCACTAGCTTCAGTGAGAACCCTTCAGTGTTGCTTTTGGTTCCAAGTCACAGAGGTACTTAAGGCTCCATTTGGGAGTGAACCTGCTCCAGATTCTTGGCTGCGGGCCCCATGTGGGTGTCCACAGTGACAAGTTTCAGCCAGCAGAACAGGCAGGACCTCAGTATAATCCTGTGCCTTATTGAAGTGGTAGTGCTTTCTCTCTGCCTTGGCTCTGCCATTTAGTGGAGGAAGGGTTTTCATGGTCGACTACTGACGGCTTCGATATAATTATGCTTATATAATTCTTCAGAGAATTATCTCTGAAGCAAACTTTAATATAGCTGGCTAGAACCCTGCCAACATTCTGCCAGTGTTTCTTGTCTGCCAAGTGTTTTCCACGCACTATCTCAATTGCTCCTCATAATAATAATTACCTTTATGCCCGTTTTAAAGATGAAGAAACTGAGGTTTCCAGGTGTTCAATAGCCTAAGAGTAGCAAAGCCAGGATTACAACCTAGGTCTTTGGCAATTAAACGGCTAATGTACTTTCCCACGAGATTATTCCCAGCTTTTCTTCTCAAGTAGAATTTAGTAACAACATAATCAGAGGAACTTTTAAGCTAGAAGTGGACCCTTTGCTATGACCATGCTTTGCCCTCTTCTTGTGGAGATGATATCTCTTTGGACGGTGCTTCCTCATCTATGTTATGACTTCAAGGGATGGGGATTCTGTAATACCTTTCTGTTTGGAGCCAAGCAAACCTTCAGGATCTTTGTGGGACTCTCAACTCACCCATATCCAGTTAATAATTCTTTGTTGGACAGTATACTTGATTGAGGTGCTGTGGGCCCACAAAGGTGTTTTGTTTGTTTGTTTGTTTGTTTGTTTTGTTCTAGTAATCTGAACGAAAATGCTTCCCGCTAATATGGGTAGATGTGTAGTCTGTTATTTCAAGCTTTGGCCCTCACTCAGTGACTACCTGAGGCTTTGGACAAGTCCGTGGAGCGTCCTAACCTTAGTTTGCCTGTCTCTAAAATAGTGGTGATGACATCGGCTCCACCCACAAGGCTGTACTAGGTACCTTGAAGAGAATCTGAACAGCAGAGGGCTGAGCAGAGTTGGAGCCTTGCTGTCCTGGCTGCCCTCTCCAGCAGTCTGATGCATTCCAGGGAGATGGTAATGAACAGACAGTGGATAGATAGTAACACCCATTAAAGCCATTGTGCACGAGACATTTATCAATTACTGCCTAGCCTGAGCAGCTGGACAGCCTCATCTAGAAGAGAATCTATGTAGACAAGTAGACAGTAGGTACTACCAAAAAATGCTACAATTTGAAAGCGTTCTCATTCTATTTGGCATTTTCAGTAGCAGTTTTTAGTTACATCCCAGTTATTTCCCTCAGATAAGATACCCATGGTGTATTGTGATTCAGTATGGAGTCAAGGGTCCAAAAAATTTTAGGAGGGGTAGCAGAGATTGAACATAATTTATTTACCATAATAATTAAGTGGCACATCATTGAACTATATACTCAGCAGTGTATGTGTTGTGAATAGCTAGGCTAGCAGGCCTGAATTGCTCAACTTGGCTTAAAGCATACATATTTTAAAGTTGATCACTTCCTCGTATCAGAGTTTCGTTTTGATTTTTCTGAGTCCTTATCTGTCCCATGCTATAAGAGTTTACAGAACTAAGTCTGATTACCCTAAGCCCCGAGTGAAATGTTAGAGGGCAGTACCCCATCTAGTTTATCTTTATAGCCTTCCATGGTTCATGATATTTATTATGATAAGACAGCCTCAATAAATACCCATCAGTGCATAGGTAAATTGATGCTTTCCTGTCTCTCTCTGGGGTAGATTATGACAATCCTCGATAAGCCATAGCAACTCTTTGGTCCAAAGAAAACTGTATCCTAGTGGGCATGTCTCTGAGTCCTGCAGATGCTGGAGTAATGGCAATCAGAAAGCACACTATCTTCAGTGGCCACACAAAAATAATGCTGTCCCTGGGCAAGGCACTCAAGCTCCAGAGGGCAAATGCCTTCTGTGAAAAAGAACTATCTTCTGACAATGACAACCTGAAAAGGCTTAAGGGCAGCTTAACCTTTGCTATTCCTGGTAAACAGAAGCTCATCTTGTTTTGGTGTTTTGTTTTGTTTTTGAGACAGGGTTTCTCTTTATACCCCTGGCTGTTCTGGAGCTCACTCTGTAAGCCAGGCTGGCCTTGAACTCAGAAATCCTCCTGCCTCTGCCTCCCAAGTGTTGGGATTAAAGGTGTGCACCACCACTGCCTGGTGTGAAGCCCATCCTTGATCTTCACATTCACAGAACAGTTGCTAAGTACCTTATGAGATGCACCTCTGGGCCTGCAAGGAAAACAGGGATGCTACAAGGTGAGTCTTTAAAGCTCTCAAGCAGAAAACTGCTCAACTGCACAACCTGCTCGCACACAGGAGCTGATTTAATGATGTCCATAGATCTCCCAGAGGTAACTGCAGGTACTCAAATCATTGTAAACTCTCCTAATCTTGAAAATGCCAAGAATATGTTGGTAGTGACTATATCATAATTTTAAAGTAGAAGACTAATGACTTTGCAGAGGTCTCAAATGGAATATCTCAAATAATTGCATTTCTGAGATACTAGAACCACCTAGCTACTTTAGGGTTTAATCAAGGATACTTTTAAAATAACCAACAAGAAGCTTCTCTACAAATACTTTCTAATCCAGGCATTCATTGCTTCATAGGATTGGTGTTACACTTTGGATGGCCACCATATTTCGAATTACTTCATATACAACAGTATCACCTATTGAACAGACATCTTGTAAGAACAAATACTAGGCCAGTCTTGATGAGATCTTGAATCTTCATTATTTTCGAACCATCAGGAACATCTTAGAATTATGACTAAGGCGAAGCAGAGTCCTACTCTGTCTTATTCCTGCAGTGGCTATGCCTGCCTGGGTTACGTGTATGCTAATCTCTTTTCTTATTTCAATTATTTTTCAAAATAATGTGCATAATTTTAAATTAAATAACCACTGAAAATCAGTCAACCTCTACAAAATCTATACACACACATAGACACACTCAGGAGAATCAAATCAACTATTATCTCATTTGTCTCTTT